GGTATATTTTTATTATGATAGAGGCAGGGCATAAAAACAGTGATAAGAAGCTTTCTAAAGGCTGTGACTTGATTTGCAGTCAATTGAGAATAATTTCAATCCTAAAGTTTATATAAATTGTTAGATGTTTCATGGTAAGTAACTAACAGAAAGCTGACTGCTCCATGAGAGCAATATACAAAACAATAGTCCACTCATTTTAACAGAGAGAATAAGAAAATCCATAATGTAAGAATCAGCAGCTGGGCACTGTGGCACTGTGTGTAGTTCCATTTACTTGGGAGTTTGAGGTAAGAGGATCACTTAAGCCCTGGATTTTGAGCCCAGCCTGGAAACGTAGCGAGACTCCATTTCTTGAGAAAACAAAGAAAAAAACAGTAATATTTAGGGGTCAGGACAAACCTCAAAAACTGCCCCTGAAAAGAAACCCGGATTTAATTGCGTCAGGTTGCTGATCAATTTATGTTACAAAACAGCGTCACTATGTCAGAAATGAGCAGAGCTTAACATCTAGGTGGTATGCTAAGAGACATCAACGGTCAAGCAGGAAACTCAGGTAACTAGGCTCTCAAAGACAATTCCTCCAAATGACAGCGTTTCCATGGAAACTGCGTGCACATCCAGGACTGCACCTGTCAGCGATGACATCATACCCTCACAGTATCGAGGAAAGAGACCTCACTCAATCAGACAGGCCAAGGGACTTCAGAAATACATAAGGGAAAATACAGTGTGCAAATATGCAAAAATGAGATAAGATGACGACTGCTAAGTGATTGTCAAGCCACAATTACATCCTGTGAAATTGCGTTTTCCTGAATGATAGGATTACTACCACTGGCCCCCAGGACATCCTCGTCTACTCCGTGCAGAGCCCTCTCCCCAGTCGTCCCACCCCACAGCTTGCTATGTACTAGAAGACATGCAAATAAGGCCCGCCTTTTTGCTGATGAAAAGCAGCCGGGCCCTGACCCTGCAGCTCTGGGAGAGGAGCCCCAGCCCTGGGATTCCCAGCTGTCTCCACTTGGTGCTCAGCACTGAACACAGGGGACTCACCATGGAGTCTGGGCTGAGCTGGGTTTTCCTTGTTGCTATTTTAAAAGGTAATTAATGGAGAACTAGAGATACTGAGTGTGAGGGGACATGAGTGAGGGGAACAATGGGTATGTGTGGCAGTTAATTACAAGGGTGTCTCTGTGTTTGCAGGTGTCCAGTGTGAGGTGCAGCTGGTGGAGTCTGGGGGAGGCTTGGTCCAGCCTGGGGGGTCCCTGAGACTCTCCTGTGCGGCCTCTGGATTCACCTTCAGCAGCTATGGCATGCACTGGGCCCGCCAGGCTCCGGGAAAGGGGCTGGAGTGGGTCTCACTCATTAGCTATAATGGGGGTAGCACATACTACGCAGACTCCGTGAAGGGCCGATTCACCATCTCCAGAGACAACGCCAAGAACTCGCTGTATCTGCAGATGAGCAGCCTGAGAGCCGAGGACACGGCCGTGTATTACTGTGCGAGACACAGTGAGGGGAGGCCCGTGTGAGCCCGGACACAAACCTCCTGCGGGGGCGCGCGGGGCCACCAGGGGGCGCGCGGGACCACCGAGGACGGGTCAGGCCCCAGGAGCAGGTGCAGGGGGAGGTTTCCTTTCTCCTCAGCTGAAGTCAGAACTCTGGAGTCTTGCAGGTTGTTATTTTTTTATACTGTTATTTAATATGTATTTATTATCATTGGTATTTACGTTTTAATAATTTGAAACATTTTATGCAGTGTTATTTTTAAAAAATATATACTTAAGCTTGGGTGCAGTGGCTCACGCCTGTAATCCCAGCATTTTGGGAGGGTGGATCTCCTGAGGTTGGGAGTTTGAGACCAGCCTGACCAACATGGAGAAACCCTGTCTCTACTAAAAATACAAAACTGGCCAGGTGTGGTGGCAAGCCTGTACTCCCAGCTACCTGGGAGACTGAGGCAGGAGAATCGATTGAACCCGGGAAGCGGAGGTTGCAGTGAGCCGAGATCACGCCATTGCACTCCAGCCTGGGAAACAAGAGCGAAACTCCGTCTCATAATAAAATACACATATGTATACTATGTACATATTCAAGGAATAATTATTTCTAATTAGTTGCAGTTATTCTTCCAGAGTTTTATCATCTATTGCTATCAGCAACTATGGCTATGATAACATAAATTTACAACTATAGACATAAGTCTAAATACGACAAACCTGTTCATAAATGTGTAGTCATTTATATTTAAAATTATAATACAATAAATTTTAAAATATTTTCTAAATGATCAAACTTATTAATGAACTAAATATAAATTATTGGAGTTCTATGAAATCAATTCATAATTGATTTCAATAAGTTTATATTGTTTATATTAATATCTATTTACTTAAACATTATATATTGGTCAATTCAAAATAGCTAAGGTAAATTTCTAATGGCCTTGACAGAAAAAAGGAAAATGTTTTGAAGTGATGAATATGCTAATTAGCTTTATTTTATTATTCCATATTGTACTAATAAATAACAACATTTCTTTGTACCTCATAAATATATAACAATTTATCTATTTTCAAGGCAATGATTTAATGCATCCTGGTCATAATGTTTTTTTTCCCTTGTCCAGGTCTGATTGGATTGTCCTGAGAAACCCATCCACACTCCTGCCTCCTGAAGGCTTCTGAGCATGGCTCCATGAAGGGCAGAATCAGGCGCCCCGGGTGAGTCCACAGGGCCTGGAGCCTCCCTTTTAAATTAGGGGCTCCTCTCATGATCACAGGGCTCTTCATTATCCTCACCCTGCTGTTGTACCAAACAAGAAACATCACACTTCAATTCATCAGGCTTTGCCTTAATTTTCCCTGAAAAATCAAGGTAATAATTTTTGCAATAAATATCACAACCTACTATGAATAAGTCCTTTCTTATGTACTAAGGTTTCTTCTGAGGAGTTTACATGTATTACAGTTTCCATTTCTTTATAAGATGAGATATTAATATCTCCATATTAGAGATTATTTTTCTAAGTCGTTTCTGAAAACTGATTTGCCCAAGGGCCCATATGGCTTCTGTTAGAGATGCAGGATACAATTAGAAATGTTAGCAGTAACAGCTGGAAAAACATTGAGAATATATTTAACTTAGTGCATGTGCTCTCAAATATTCTTATTTCCCTACAGGCTGTTACAGGTTATGATTTTACACATGATATTTGTAATTAATACTAATAAGACAGGTTAAAATATTGTATCAATTATTTAAAGACATTTGATAATAACAAAATGCATGTTCCACATATTTTTGAACATTCTGATTTCTCTATGAAATGTGTTTATTAACTTATTATTATCAGACATCACCCTCCTGATTTCTGGAATTTAATTCTAGCAGATATTGTTAAATATATTTTACTAATTCATATTATATTGTTCACATTTTGAATATGATTTTATTGATAATTGCATTATTTACTAAATTTTAAAATACTTTCTACACTATTTTTTAATTTTTTATTTTTAATAAAATAAACAACACAAGTGACCTTCTTCGTGCTTCCAGTCATTCCGCCCCCACATTTACACAATGGTTTGATCTCTGCCGCTGAAGTTTCTTTTTTAAAGTTTTGAGCTTCATATAAAAGGACTCAAGCATTGTAGACTCCTTTTGTGGTAAGGGGCTACTTTTGTTATTTTTGACGTTTATTTATGCTATTTCATATGTAAAATTACATCCACATATTGTCATTTATTCACTTACCGGAATGCCTTTGATATAAAATCTCAACGTTTTGACATATATGGAGAGAGAGAGTGAGAGTGAGAGCGAGAGAGAGACAGAGAAATGTTATAACTGAGTCAGTCCAATAAGCAATAAATGACAATAAGCTGATCCATTTTCCTGTCGATGGACTTTGAATTTGTTCTCAGTTTATGAATATCACAAGCAATGCTGCTATAAATATATATATATATATATATACACATATCTTTTTCATTTTTATGCAGAAAATATGTGGAAGTAGGCATTTCTTCATCACAAAAATAAGCTTAATTTGTTCCTCTTTATGGAACTATAATTGGTAATAAAAATTGTATATATTTAAGGTTCACCACTTGATGTTTTGTTGCAAATTGTTAAATTTTCACTATGACCTAGGAATTAGAATATCTATTACCTAACAGTTACCATTTTATTCATTTTCATTTATTATGTTTGTGTCCAGTGAGAACACCTGATTTCTATCCTTTACCAGAGATCAGGTTTGCAATACAGTCCATTGCTTTACATTAGACCTCCAGAGATCAGGATAACTACAGTCCATTGTTTTGCATTAGACCTCCAGAGATGAGGATAACTACAGTCCATGGCTTTACAGTACACCTCCAGAGATCAGGATAACTACAGTCCATGGCTTTGCATTAGACCTCCAGAGATCAGGATAACTACAGTCCATTGCTTTACAGTAGACCTCCAGAGATCAGGTTAACTACAGTCCCATTGATTCGACCTCCAGAACCCATTCAGCCTGCACAACTGAAACTTGGTGCCCTGGACAAGCATCACTCCATTTCCCCTCCTCCCAGCCCTGAGAGCCACTTTACTACTCTCCACTTCTAAGAAGTTGAATATTTTAGATTCCACATAACAATGAACTAATGCAGCATTTGTCTTTCTGTGTCTGGCTAATTTCATTTAGAATAATGTTCTCCACACCCATCGATGTTTATGGAAATATTATAATTTCCTTTTTGTTAAAGGTCAAATCATATTCCATGGTATGTATATACATTTCCGTTATACACCCATTTACCTATGACAATTAACTTTAAAAAATTGTAGGCCACTGTGAATAATCTTGTAATAGACCTGTGTTTTTAACTTACTGATTTTATTTCCTTTGAATATATAGCCAGAAGAGGGATCACCAGATTACATAATAGTTTCACTTTCAATTTCTAAAATGACCTTTACTACCACACCATTGAATAATTCCCTTTTCAGCAGCTTACTGTCAGCATTTCGTTGTCTTTTGCCTGTGTGATAATGTTCTTGTTAAGCAACGTGAGATGATATCTCACTGTGGTTTTGATTGTAATTCTTCTGAAGATCTGCAATGTTGATCACCTTTCTACGTCCTGCTGACTTTGTATGTCTTCCCAAAAACACAATGTCTATGCACAAGTTTTACCCTCTTAAAAATCAGTTTATTTGTATTTTTTGCTATTGTATGGGTCCTTTATACATTTAGATAGAACCCTTTGTCAGATATACAATTGAACATAATTTATTTTTCCGTGATTTTGGTGTCAAATCCATATAAATCATATTCCAGGTTAATTCCAGGATGCTTCTTTTTTTCTCTCTGAGTTTACAGTTTTACATATCATATTATTTTCAAGCCTTGAGTACATTCTTAGGTGACTTTTGTATATGATGTGAGATAAGATCTCATTTTCTTTCTGCATATGGATGCCCAGTTTTTACACCATTTGTCAAAAAGGCTATCCTTTCCTCATTGTGTCTTCTTGGAACACAAAATCTGGCAGAGACACGCAAAAGAGGAAAATTTTAGACCAATATTCCTGATGATAGACCTAAAAATCTTCAAGAACATACTGGCATATTGAATATACTAGCACATTAGAAAGT